ATTAATGTTTAAAAAATACTTTTAATTATATATAATTAATATATATATACATATCTTATAAGAACTTACTCTAACAGTATCATCCCATCCACCAGTAATAATCAGATCAGGATATTCATTGTGAAATCTTGAAGCAAATATTCTCATTCTATGAAAGTTTGTAGCTTTACTTTCTATCAAATCTTCTTCATTCTTTTTATACTCTAATATCAACTAAAATAAATTTATATTAACATTTAAATATTTTTATGTATTTTATATTTCAATAAAAATTTATAGATATATGCAAATAATTTAATTTATCAATAATTATAACTGACAATGAATATTTATAATATTAACTTTAGTGTTTCGCGCATCATAAAGGCGAACAGTTGCATCTTTACCACCAGAGACCAAATAATCTCCTGTGATACTCACATCTATTGTATTCACTTCATTTTTAAGCTCTGCATAGATGAATTCAAATTGAAAAATAATGCTACATGTAATGCAATTATGAACGTAATTCATTTACCAAAGATAAATCTAGAAAACTCTTTAGTGTGTGTGTTACACATAAAAATATTTCCACAGGCACTGGAAGCATAGAATATGTCTTTGTGTACTGGATTAAATCTGCAGCACATGACTGGCATTGAAATTTCCAGACCAGATTTAAGTGTAGCTGTTAATTCACCGGTCCCACCATTCCGGATCTATAAAATGTATAATAAGAATTAATGTCACAACAATTTTAATTTAATCATACTACATTTATATTATAAAATTATCACCTGAATAGCACCACTTCCAAAGCCTGTGGCTATAAATTCACCAGTTTTAGAAAACCGTGAGGTATAGAGTCCCTGTAAGTTCTCAGCAAAGCGTATTTCGTATCGTTTTCGCAACTCCATATCTCGAGAAATGTCTACATCCTGTTTATAAGAAAAGACGCTTCAACAAAAAAAGTATAAGGGTTTTTGTAACTTTTGTAATGTTTAAATAATCTCATAACTTCACAATTCTCATAATTATGATAATGATACAGCTATTAGATCAATAGTAAACTTAATTTAGAAGATGTTAGTCATTAATAAATATTTCTATATAATTATGCAGAATTCTCACCTTCTGCCTTTCTTCACTTTTGCGATCCTCTTT